ATGCACTGAAGCTGGCATTTTTCCTGAGTTTTTCCAGCAAGATGGTGCACCACCACATTATGGGTGCCAGGTCCGAGCATTCCTAGATGAACAGTTTCCTGGAAAGTGGATTGGTCGTCGTGGGCCAGTTGAACGGCCCCCAAGGTCTCCCGATCTGACCCCCTTAGACTTTTATCTTTGGGGTCATCTGAAGGCAATTGTCTAAGGTGTGAAGATACGAGATTTGCAGCACCTGAAACTACAGATACTGGTTGCCTGTGCTGGCATTTCTCCTGTGGTGTAGCTATCAGTGTGTGAAGAGTGGGAGAAGAGGGTTGCATTGACAATCCAACACAATGGGCAGCACATTGAACACATTTTATAAGTGGTCAGAAACTTGTAAATAACTCATGCAAGAATAAAGTTACTTTGAAACCAAGCACACCATTGTTTTTCTTGTAACATTACCAATAAGTTTGATGTGTCACATGGCCCTCTTCCTATTAAAAAAACAAAAGTTGTATCCAAGATGGCTGACTTCTAAATGGCAACCATGGTCACCACCCATCTTGAGGATTTTGCCCCCTCACATATATTAATGTGCCACAAACAGGACTTTAATATCACCAACCATTCCCATGTTATTACTGTGCATCCATATAAATGGCCCACCCTGTATATCAATATTTCTGTTCGAACATGACTGTGCACCAGCGCACACAGAACACCTTTTGGATTAATCAGAGTTGAGACATCAGTGTCTGACTTCACAAATGCACTTCTGGAAAAATTGTCAAAAATCCCCATGAACACACTCCTTGTGGTTTTTCTGGCTTTTCTTCTATGCTATTTTGGTAAAATATTGTTTAATTCATTGCAGTTGTTTAAAGGTTATACCCTTTAAAATGTAAAATTCCTGTTTTGTGGGTATATCCTATTTTCACTGTACTAATATTTCTAATGCAAATGTATGATAAATGATGTGTGAATTCATCTTTCAAATGCTGATACTGTATAAATGTTGACTGTCTTATTTTCAATTTGGATAAAGATTTGCAATAGAAGTTAGCACACTAAAGCATCTGCTTGTTCCATTATCAGACTTACATGATGAAAAGTGAAACCAGAAACTGAAAATTTACCTTAATATAAAAGTTGTGCCTTTTGATCATTGTGGCATAAAAGACAATGTAATATAAAAGTAAGAAACAAGTTTGCAGCAGTTCTGGGGACGAAAACACCAAACAAAAAGCTTCAGTAACTAACAGTTACAGTGACCAAGACAGTTAAATGTTAAATAGTAAATGGAATGACTCTTACAGTATATAACTTTTTCTATTCTCCCAGAGCACTCAAAACGCTATATAAGGCAATCACTCTGTACAGTAGACCTGAATTGGAAAACTATCACAGAATGCACTACCCATAATGCGCCTTGTAATCGGAAGGTTGCCGGTTTGAGCCCCGGCTTGGGCAGTCTCGGTCGTTGTGTCCTTGGGCAAGACACTTCACCCGTTGCCTACTGGTGGTGGTCAGAGGGCCCGGTGGCGCCAGTGTCCGGCAGCCTCGCCTCGTCAGTGCGCCCCAGGGTGGCTGTGGCTACAATGTAGCTTGCCATCACCAGTGTGTGAATGTGTGTGTGAATGGGTGGATGACTGGATATGTAAAGCGCTTTGGGGTCCTTAGGGACTAGTAAGGCACTATATAAATACAGGCCATTTACCAACCATAAAGTGGATTGACTATGGAGAATATGTTTGAGTACACCAAATGTGTCCACAGAGCAGAGATTTGTTCATCAGAATGTAAATTTCTGCTGAACGTTTTGACATTTTGGTGTCAGTGTCATGGATCCATGTGTTGACAGTCCAGGCTGGTATTCGTACTGTAACAGAGCAGGGGGGGTTTTTCTAGTATGCTTTGAGCCATTTGAGTATTGTTGAGTATTGTATTGTTGCATCGCCTTTTAGACTCAGTTAAATATGTTCTAATATTCAAGTATGATAATCCACCATTTCATTTTTGTGAGCATGTAAAAGGCTGTATTTAAGAAAAGTGGTTGTATGGATTGAAACACTCAATTTCTGAATGTATATAAATATACATACTAAATAAATATAAATACAGCTTTAAAGAAAACACTTAAATGGAGAAACACTGCATTAATGAAAAATATAAGAAGAAATAAAGAGGTTAACTGTTAGTCAAGTTGCAAGCCAAGAAGATGAGAGGAAATAGACATACTGTAAAAGCTGGCCATTACATAGTTTTGGCAGCGATCACCAGTAAATTCAACTGGACACCTGAGTAGGAAACATGAGAAATAAAGAAGAAGAGAAAGAGGGTGTTAGTTTATGTCATATGCAAAACCCACAGTCATCACTGGTGTTATGGATATCTAAACCAGCATGTCTACCTATTGAGTCTTTATTTAAAATTACCCTTTCAGACTACGTTGTATATTGCATAAGTCATAAATGACAGATGATCAATTCTAATTTAGTGATTACAGTTAACCTAATTTAACTACTCTCTTTGCAACAGACTGAAATTTGCATGTATGTAATAAGACAATTAGGATAACCCCAGTTGCATAAATTTCAGACAAAATAGAATTAAAGACCCCAGTAATGGCTCCATTACTCTTGGTCATTCAGTACTGCAACAGGTAATCCCTCTGCTCTCTTGTATGTGACATTTATTTTCCAACACTACGTTTAGACTTGAAAATTTACAGCGACCTGCTAACCTGCTCAAGATAAATATGCAGTGAAATATGCAGTGCTGTTGATCAATATTATTATTATTATTATTATTATTATTACTACTACTACTACTACTATTTTGAAATTTTTTCACGCTTACACATTTAAAAAACGTTTTTAATATGTTTAATATACAAAGATGTCCCGAGTACAAGTTACAAAATGCAGATTAGAAACAATCATTTTATTTTTTATACATAATAGTTATCCACCTACCTGGCTTTATGTAACACAGTTACTTAATGTTAAATCTTGAATTAACTATGATTAACTGGATTAAGAACCGCAAGCCTCACTTGCAAGACTGATATGATTCAACAATATGAAAGATACTAGATAAAAATTGGCATCCTGAGAAAACCACAGTTGATCAAAAAGAATTGTCTTACATTTCCCCCAAAAAATACCTCAATGAACCCCAAGACTTTGGGGAAAATATTCTGTGGATAAATGGGACAAAAGTTTAACTCTTGGGAAGGTTTGCATTCCATTACATGCTATATAAATGCAATCCATTATCATTATTATTATTACAATTGGAATAAATTAAACACGTTTCATAAAAAAAACATCATACCAACAGTCAAACATGGTGGTGGTAGTATGATGGGCAAGGCCTGCTTCAAGGTCTGGATTAAGTACCCCAATTTATGGAATCATGGATCAAAATACAACACAAACAAAAAATAAAAATAAAAAACAAAGTCAAGGCTTTGTAGTGGCCTAGTCAAAGGTTAAATCCATCTGAGATGGTTTGGTATGACATTAAACAGGCCATACATGCTTCAAAACCTTCCAGTGTAGCTGAATTTTGCAAAGAAAAGTGGGCCAAAATTCCAGTGATCTGAAAGACATTGTCAGTTATTGCAAATGCTTGATTGTAATTCTTGCTTCCAAGTATGGCACAAACAGCTTATAGGTTTAAAGAATAGCTATCTTTTTTACATAAGCCCATGTAGGTTTAAATAGCTTTTTCTCTTAAATTAAATCATTTAATAACTGCACTTTGCATTTACTCAGGTAATCTTTGGCTGATATTAAATTTACTTTGATGATCTGTCACATATCAGCAAATATCAAAAAAAAGAAAATATCAAAAAAAGAAAGAAAAGAAATCAATAGGACTGTAGCACTGTAGGTTAGGGGCAACTTTCATCTGCTCTTATGCATTTTCAGATAATTTTAAAGCTTTTCAATAAGCTGTAATATAGTGGTATAATCCTAAACTATTGCATCTAATATTGTTATTATTGTTCATATCATTTCTACATCTAAACCCAATTACCAGTTTGGATTTTCCTTTTATATTTCATAAATATATTTATATTTTCCTTTTTATATTTCTTTAATGTGCTGACACAATTTAACACTTTCTGAGTTGCAAATAAAAGAATAGGGCTTGAGTTAGACTTGTACATCATGGGTATATCTTGATTTACGCATTTGTTTAACTAAATCCACAATTTTGACTATAGCCAGATCTCCCTGTATTGTAATAATAGAGATTATTGAGTTTAATAACTGGCCACTTATTTTCAGCTTTCCTTTCTAGCTTTGAATAAATCGTTTATTTATACAACGTTTTATATAATGCTGACTACTAAAAGCAATTAAAATACACGCACATAATTTAGCTGTTTTAATAATATAGGCCTATATACTGTCTATTGATTTTCTTATCATACACTCTCATACTCCGATGCTTTGAATTCCATAGTTACACAGGTATATTTAGATGCATTGTGTGTTTAATTACTTTATTTTAATATTAAACCTTGTAAAAGCTTGTAGCTAAACTGGTGAAACCCTCGGTTGAGTTATCAGGCTGATAACCACTTTTGTGACTGATAGTATGATAGATGATATTAGCATAAGATAAAGATTTGGAGAATCTGAAATTGCTTTGCACTACAGAACCCAAATTGTACAAGAACATAATCAATGTTTTGTTTTCTGATGATCTGGCAATGTGGCTTCATACTGAAGTGGAGATCACTGGTCTAAACAGGATGGATGAGGTGTGGTGAGATGTGAATTACATGCAAATTCACTGCAGAAGAGAGTATGCTTAAGCCTTTAGACCATGTTCTACATAGAGTCTACTTGAACTTGGAGAAATAAGTTCAGCATGCTCACCAAGTTTATATCTGTGCATAGAAGGCAACATGAATTTCTCCACTATTTCCTGGAGAAAATATGCTAAGAGTGAAACACCAGCAATGACATGTGGGACTAAATACAGTTGTATTCACATACGTTTTGGGTCTGAGACATTCTTAAGAACTGCTTGTTCACATCGGTGCCCAGTGAATCCAGCCAAGCACCTAGTTAATGGATAGAAAGGACAAGACAAAAACAGCACCTACTGTTATCCACAGGACGCAAACACTCAATGACACACAGTCACAAAACATACTATTTTCCAAGATAGAACTTTATCATATAATGCTTTTTTTGTTAAAAAAAAAAAATCTAGATATAATGTTACAATTACAACATAATAAACATAGTGGGAGTTCCCAACCTGGATGGGAGGCATACCAAAAAAGCCCTATAACACTCATGGTCTTTAGGAACTTAGGTTGATCCTCATCCACCTCAGTGACCCAGCCACTAAGGAGTTGTTCAGCTACCTCAGTGACTTTTTTTAAGTAATGGGCAAATGGGCAAATCATTCCCCTCACTGTCATGGAAGGATAGGCCCCTGGACAGGCTATCTGAAAGCCCCACAGTATCTTATTTTAGCTCAATCATTGTCAAATGGCATATCACATTTTGACCTCAAGACTTCCAGGCCATAACTTAGCACAGATACACCGCATGCCAGCCACTTGGTTATGGCGTTCTATGTATGTCTCGCTGGCTAGCATTTTGAACCCTGTTGTTATGTGCCTGATTGTTTCAGAACTTGTTTCTGTTCTGCCATGATTACTGCATCTGTGCTGTTTTTTCAGCTTTACCCAGCCAGTGGTAGGATTTCTGGCTGTTAGTCAATTCTACCATCTGCTGGTGGTACATACCCTGGAGGGCCCTGTCTATCCATGATGGTTCTTCTCCTAGTCTACATTGTCAGCAAATTTCCCTTCTGGTAGTACTTTTCCTCTCTTTGTTACCATCTGGCTAAACTTCTCCAGTCCAAATGACATTCTGATGTTGTTGCTATAGATCCTGGTGGTATGGATCGATGAATCAATGCCTCATTCACTCCTGGAATACAGCATGATATCATCCATGTAGAGGAGGTGGCTGACAATTGTTCTATTACGTATTCGGTACCCATAGCCAGTCTTGTCAATGATAGCACTATGGGGGTTCGGGCCTATACAGAACAGCAGTGAGGACAGGGCATCTCCTTGGTAGATCCCGCACTTGATGGTGACTTGTGTGTTTGGCTTGAGATTGTCCTCTAATGCTGTTCACCACATCCCCATTGAATTCCTGATGAATGCTCTTAGGGTCCTGATGATCCTGTATAGTTCTAGGCATTCCAGGATCCATGCATAGGCATTGAGTCATCTGCTTTCTTGTAGTCAACCAGTGGTACACAGGTTGGTCAATCTACAGGGTGGGCCATTTATATGGATAAACCGTAATAACATGGGAATGGTTGGTGATATTGAAGTCTTGTTTGTGGCACATTAGTATATGTGAGGGGGCAAACTCCTCAAGATGGGTGGTGGCCATGTTGGCCATTTAGAAGTCGGCCATCTTGGATACAACAACAGAGTCATGTGACACATCAAAGTTATTGGTAATGTCACAAGAAAAACAATGGTGTGCTTGGTTTCAACGTAAATTTATTCTTTCATAAAGAAGAAAGAACCAAGCACACCATTGTCATTAAATTGAATTGATTTTTTCTGTGTTCTACTGAGAATAAAATATGAGTATATGGGATTTGCATATCATTGCATTCTATTTTTACTGACATCCCAGCTTTTTCAGACCTGGGGTTGTATGATAAAGTTCCATTATATTTCTAATGTTTTCATCAGAAATCATGTCTACTTTTCAGACAATATAGGTTGGATTTAGTTAGTTAAGCAGGATAAAGTACAAAAATTATTTTGTTCTGGCATTACAAATGCCAGCAGTAGCAGTATTCAGTGAGCTTAACCTACAGTTCATGGCATACCTGCAGAGAAACTTTGTACTGCCCGGGATGATTTCAAGGGTAAAGCACTCGCCTCCATTAACACAGTAGTTCCTCTGACTGTCACTGCAGCGGGTTACGTGACTTGAGGTCTTTGCTGTAGTGGAAGTGCTGATGGTAGCTGGGGAGAGACACCTATAATTAGCATTTCATGAAAACAACACATGCATCCTCGGCCTTAAATATGAATTATACTTCTGCGCCAGACCTATGCCATAACTAGAACACCATTTTAACCCTACCCTACAGGTAACCTTCTCCCCACTTTCCTATTACCCAATGAACAGCTAAGAGTATCCATGGAAGTGGGCTAATGATTAACACGTGTAAACTGTCATAATTATATTTTGTTAAACATATGCATGTTGCATATATAATACATGCAATAAATTACTTCTTGGCCAATAATCTGTCAAATATTGGTCAAACATTTCTCTCATGAAATGTTTGACCAATATTTCAAATAATTTTCAGGCATAAAGAGCATTCCTATCACAAGATAGAAGTGGCAATAACTTTTTGTCAAAGCAGGTAACCCAAATCATGGAGAGGAAATGGCATTTTGCAAACTTAGAAGATTTTGAAATCTTCTAATTTTGTGAGAAGAAGAGTTGAAAAAATGTTGAACACATTTTACATGCAGTTATTCACATAATTATTAGCGGTAGCTTGCCATTAAAATATCAAAAGCTCCCAAAATATTTTTAGACTTTTATCCACAGCCATTGTGAAGGGATGGATTACATTTCATTGCAATATGCTTTAAGTTGTGCTAATGAAATGAATTGTAGCAATAGTGTGTAAAAGCTATTAGTGGATTAAAATCAGCAATCATTTGCCGAGAGCCATTCCACCTATCATGCGTGAAGATAATTGTCAAAAATGTTGTTTGACAATATAAGTCATCCTAAAAGGTCGTGGTCATGATTCCACAACATCAGTATCTTAGAAATGTAACTCATCAGCTTTTTAAAGGTTATAAACTCCCCTGCTATAGGTTTTTATCCTCTTTGATATTATCTTGATTCTACTAGGCCTCAGCTGCTGGGAGCATGATGTACTGTGTGTTTCTTCTTCACTCACCTCTTTTGACTTTTTATGTATTTCTACAATACGTTGCATTTAATCATAAGTTAACTTTAAAATCTGGCTCTCTTCCAATGTCTTTCTTTTGCCTGTCTTCCTCTGTGCTCTTCCTTTTCTATCACAGCTGATGGCTGCCTCTCCCTCCATTTTTCCTCCATTTTTCCAAGCACTTTCTCATTGGGGTTTTCTCTTGATTATTGAAGGGTTTTCAATTTACAGTATAAAGCACTCTGAGACAACTGTTGTTATGTTTTGGTGCTGTATAACTAAAACATATAAGAAGACATGAGGGGGTGGGTAAATGATCGTTCCTTCTAGTTCCCATCAGAACTAGAAGGAAAGAAGGATTTTTAAGGACAACCTGTTAATGAATTAAAATACTCCAGCCTAGAAGTGAAAAATGCATGAACTACTTTTTCAGCATTGATCTGAGACAGGATGTTTCTATCTTTAGAGGTATTGCACAAATGTAAGAAAGCAGTCATTGAAAGCCATATCCTGGTCAAAACTGACTCCAGACTCTAGAAGATTCTTCACAGTTTTAGAGGAGGCCAAGGTAAAACCATACAGATTAAGCATCTGGTTAAATACATATATCCAAGATTTTTAGGACTGCAACACAGTGCTGTAGTGTGTTGCACTGTTGCCACACAGCAATTAAATACTGGGTTCAAACTCAATGACCTACATGTGTGGAGTTCTTCCTATGCCTCTCCAGGTACTCTGGCTTCCTCTCACAATCCAAAGATATGCAGGTTAGGTTAGAATAGAATAGAATAGAATAGAATAAACCTTTATTATCCCACTGATGAGAAATGTTGGTGTTACAGAGCTCTTAGAGCAAGGGGAGGAGTGATTCTAAATTAACCATAGTTGTATGAATGTTTGTTTGTCTCCATTTTGACCCTGCAATAGACTGGGAACATGTCCTAGGTGTGCAGGTCATCCTCTGACATCTAAGAAAGGGTCTGGACTCTTCATAATCCTTACCTGGATAACTGGTTAAGAAATGGATGGATGAACTGTTATCAATTTTAAAATACTGGAGAAGAGGTGTTTTTAAAAAAAAAAAAAAAACATAGAAAAGGGAAGCGTAAGACAGTTACAATGCATCTCATAATGTCAAACTTCAAAGTGAAACGTTTAGAAAGTACAGACAGTCTTTGGAATAAAGCTGCACTTGCTTCCTAAATTTACAACAGGGCTGCAACTTTGAGATGAGTGATAGGGGAGGAGCAGCAGTGCTATCACAGAGAGACACCAGCTTTGCCAGAAATCAGATAACATTCTACAGGCCAAAACAAGACATTTATACATTTCAGCATCAGAATCTCACTTGGGACACTCAGAAAGAAAATTAACAGAGGTAATTTTTAAACATTAACCTTCTGTCACTGCTGGTATTCAAGCATTCTTAAGTAAAGCACTGTCTACAAACCAACCCCTGACCTACCACCACTACCTCACCACAATACAACACAGAGTGATGTGACTACAAACAAAACAGCCTAGTTGAGAGGCCCAGGCAGAAAGAGAGCATAAATGGATTGGTGTATTTTCCCCTGTGCCTCAGGGATAGTGGGGACATCAGTTAGCTTCAAGAAGGCTCTGACCTTGAAATGTAGCATAGGCAGAAAACAGGAAGTCTGGCTGTGCCACAGCCTGGGTTTTCAGTTTATGTCATGCATCATTTATTGATATGCACTTTTCAGTATATCTCGAAATGTGCATCCACACACTTCAGAGATCTTTCACATTTCTCACGTTTTTTTGCAAACAGGAAAAACATTTTAAAGAAAACACTGATTGACTTTAATTACTTAAGTCATTTCATTATAATATAAAGGGCCACTTAAACTCTAAAGTGGGTAAAAGAGGATGACTCCCAGAAATCGCACAATTAGTGTATGGGTAAAGTAGATTTAAACTGAAGGTTCAAGGTACACACTTACACAGTTTGTGTAGAAATAGTTCAGGGGCTTACTCATGGCACCGTGTGCAAGTCACAACACATCTGTTTTCAGGTACAGAACATTCTTGTACAGAAAAAAAGAACACTACAAAATGAATGATACAAGAGAAAAAAAGTTATTTGAATCTTATTATATCAACCTGTTTTATCTTTTGCAATGATGAAAATCATAATTTTGTGTTAGCATGTAATGTCTAGCCATTGCAACCTACAGTATACCTAATTTAGGCTCATAAAAATATGTAAGTAACTTAAAGAAAAACCCACTTACAGATTTTTATATAAACAAGTATTGGGTACTTACAGATAGTTTGATGATGGCTGTGTGATTTCTGTGTTGACTTTCGTTGGGGAGTCTGCTTTGGGGTGGTATAGTGTTCAGCGTTATATTTCAGTGTGACAGCAGGCTCAATCACTCGTGAAGACTGAGACACATGCGGCTGTTGTGTAGATTTATCTTCTACTGAAACTTCAGGATGCTCTGGGGTAAGGGTGAAGGTGGTGGTTAGGGAGTTATTTGAAGGAGTTGCATGAGGAAACGAGACTGTTATTCCCAATGTGGGTTCAACTGGTATAATAATTGGGTCTTGTCCAATAGGCTTAGGATCTAAATGTGATGGTGGTTCATACTCAAATATCTTATCCACAAAGACCCATTTGAGTCCAGCTGTGCAGAGGGCTAAGCTAAGCAGACAGGCCAGTATGGGGAGGATGCAGATTTTCTCAGAGTGCAGGCAATTGTTAATCTGTTCCATCTCTATGCACACGCAGCAGGCCTCTGGCAAGGTCACAATTCCAAAAGCCCCCACATGCTCCCCATCGTCACCAGCACCACCTCCTTCTGCAGTTCCCTCTATAGCCTCCTCCCCACTCTCACCAGCTGCCTCTGTCTCCTCTGGTTTCTCTTCTGGGACTTGCCTAGTATCAACAGTAGAGCCAGTGGGGGAGACTGATCCAAAAGGGGGAGCTGGCCCTGCAGAGACTTCCTCCATTCCCTCAGTCATCCTTTCACACTGCTTGAAGAAGTGTTTCTTACCACCTTAGCTATTAACTCAGATCATCACACAATGACATTTTTCCACCAATGTCTTTTAGTATCTTTTCCATTGTGTAGACACAGAGGGAGAGCTGGGTTTCAGAGAAAGGTGATGCCCTTCAAAGAGTGGAACCTTGCTAACAATCCAGGGGATACGTAGACAGTCTATGCATTAGAAATAGGAATTCCTTATTCATGCTTTTTTTTCACAAGGAAAACAACTGTCAAATTTCCTGCAGGCAGAAACAAAAAATACGGAAAAGATTTTTTAAAATGTGCGGTCTACTAGTGAGCAGCAGTGAAACAGTTGTACTCACTCACCTGAATACTTGGGAAGAAAAGGTAGTATCGACGTGATGGGCCAGCTCTAGCTGAGGCAAATGTAGTGCAGAGGACAGGCCAGCCAAGCACTGCAGTGGCAGGAGGGACATGCTGTCTAGTCTTGGGAGCTCCAAACAGCTGAAAAGCTGAATCATCAGGGAGCGGCAGGTGTCCTTCCTCTCAGTGCAGCCACTGAAACAGATGAGTAAGGGGAAAGAGGAAAAAAGGAAATTACACAGAGTGGGAGGGGGGCTGCAGCAGCACAGAAGGGCAGAACTGGATACTCCCCTTTTCTTCTCTCACCCCTCCTCTCTCAATCCTTTATTTTCAAGTGGTGAGCTGTGCAGACTCTGGCCTCCTCCCTCACTGCCTCTCTTCCTGTCTGGTAGTGTGCAATGCAGGCTGCTCCCAATCCCTGTACAAAGCATCAACCTAAGCAAGTTCCTACTTGATCCAATTAGAGCATATGTCAGCAAATCAGAGACAGGCAAACTGCTGTAGCCACACCCTCTAGCACCACTCCCCATTCATTATGCTGGTCCAAAAGGGTGTGTTGGCTTTTTCCTTTTTTTATGCAGAGAAAGCAGCCACATGATCCACCTAAGGGGATAAAGCTGTTGTATCCTACTCATCTCAAGCATCAGGTCTGCACAAATAATAACATGATAAATTTGAGAGAGAGATAGAGAAAAAGAGAGATAGATAGATAGATAGATAGACAGACAGACAGACAGACAGACAGACAGA